AGAAAAAAAAGAGAAAACAGTCCACTTTGTTATTTTTCCGGAATTGAAAAGGAAACATGTATGATGTAACTAAAGAAAAAAAGGAAGAAAACGGAAAGAGGAAAGAAAAAGAGGAAAATTATAAATAACATAAAATACAAACTCTTAAGGTTGAATATAGAAGAATCAAACAGAGCGCAACAACGACAAGAGAGAAAAAAGAAAAAATTATAAATCACATGAAATACAGACTCTTAATGTTGAACATCAAAGAATCAGACAACCGGAAAAAAATACAGAGAAGAAGGAAAAAAAAAGCGAGTAAAACAGTCGAATGTGGAAAAGGGAAAGGGGAAGCACAGAAAAGGACAAAGGAAAAAACGGAAGGGGAAGCACTCATCTCTATACAATACAGAAATAGAAGGAATTCCTAAATACAAAACAAAAATGAGAAAAAGAAGAAAATATATGTAAGCACATATACGTGTATATTGCTGAGCTATAGGCTGAATGACACCTCGACGAGCAATGTTCATAAAAGGAAACAACCTTCTTCAAATGCACATCTTAATTAACATATAACACCAAATAAAGTACAAAGGAAAAAATCACCCTGCTTCTATATTTTTAAGATTATTCCCAGATCCAATATTTTTGCTGATAATTAGTAATTCTGAATTCGGTAGAATTGTATATAACGACATTTATATCATATTTTGGATGCCATATTCCCAATGGATGACCCTCTCATTTGATTCTTATATTAACATTACATTATATTGGCCATAAAATGAATACAATGGTGTCGTAGGAGAATAGGGCAGATTAAGAAAATTTTACAATCATTTTATTATCACTAGGAAAATTTGAAACTGTTTCTTACGAGTAAATAAATCCTGCAGAAAAATATTTTTTCTTTTTTTCGTAAAAATAACCCTATTATGCGTATGAATCTGAAGACCCAAAGACTAATTTGTGGTGTAATTTATGGAGAACCGTCACATGTCACTAATGCGCGATGCATCATAAATTCTATTTTCTAATTATTGGGGGATGTGTAACCCCATATAAACATACTATACAGAACTTCCACTATCTTAGGATTTTATTTAGGGAGCTTATTTCTATTGACTTCTCGCTTATCGTAGAATGTGTGTAGAAAAATATAAAACAAATTAACCAGGAAAGAAGAAAAAAAAAATAGGGAATGGGAAATATATTTTTTTAATAGATTTAGCTAAGAATAATAATTTAATCCATCCGTGATAATGCCTAAAATATTTTTCCATTGACGACCTTTTAGGAATAAGAGCCGCCCTGTAAAAGATGTGTAAATTACGCAAATAATATAATGGGAAGGAAATTTTCATTTATCTTGATTTATTCCTATTTATTTTTATTTATTTGTATTTATTTCTATTTATTTTTTTCTATTTTTATTTATTTTTATTTATTTCTATTTATTCTTATTTATTTCCATTTATTTTTATTTATCTGTATATAACGCGTGCATTGCGTAGTAATCTTTTTCTTCTTTTCCAACTACTAGTTTGCTCATCTTATTAATGACACATTCCATTTCTTAATTATGAGCAGTTACAGATTGCATAATTGTATGACCACATAGGTCATAACAAATATCTTTCAGGAGGGACCCAATTTTAGATCACACCTTATAATTCTTTCATGGAGGGCTAGCACAAGAAAACGCACAATTCAGCAATCTAACGCTCATAGCAAATTGTTTTTATGATCCTCCAAATGGGCGTCTCCAATTATTCATTGCACAGAAGACATCCATTCTGCGCCAATGGGGAGAGTAATTTCTAATATGAAAGATGCCTACCATAGTCCACCCGAAATGGCATCACCTCTAGGTTCAAAATACTATAAATAAACCCACATTTCGGCTTATAAGCTCCGTAGGATTTCTTTCTTTCAAAATTACACTTCCAGCTTCGTGAAGTGTTGACCTGTACCATTGTATCCAAGAATAACGCATGGAATGCTTGTGAGTCGGGTCAATGTTATCGAAAACAGGTAACCTCCATTAGTCCGTATTAATAAATGCATAGTATACTATAAAAAATGTTATCCTCCTTTGCATTCTGCAAGAACATATTCGATCTCTGGTATGGGGGAGAATGCCCTCTTTAGGGGGAATTACTCTGTAGAAAAAATATTTTCTAATTTGTACATTATTTGGGGCAAAATTATCCGGCTTCCCTGTGTATCCTGTCTATACAGAAACTGTTTTCATGGCTTGTGGTGGATCTGCTTCTGGCCCCTCAGTGCTAGTTTATTTGTGTCTATGTCTCTACCCATTTCACACGTTTAACATAAATATAAAAACATTGGAAATGCATCTTAAAAGTGCAATATTCTATTTCTTCCTCATCCAAAAAATACGCCTCAAATATGAGTTACACAAAGCAAAATCATGGCAGAAATTATAAGCACCATAAGAAAAAAGTGCTATGATAATAATAAAAACTAGGTGAGAAATTCTTTCTATACACATATGTAATGAGCTGTATGCATATCATTATGAAAATGTATGTTTCTGCATATTATTATGAAAATGTATGTGTCTGCTGCTTCCAGAAGTCTCACCTTACATGGTAAGTGCCGCAAACCCCACACCACACATGTCACAATATCTGCTTAAGCGTCTTATTATGGAAAATATGCTAAAAAGAAGTCTTTCCCGATACCATTATAATAAATCAAATAATTTGAAATTTAAAGAATTCATAGCTATATGTTAAAATCTTGAGAAACATCTATGAGGATATTCTTCGTTTTCTTTGTTAATTACTTGTCTCTTCTACTTCACATATACTGATGAGAGGTGGATATACAGAATTTTCCGCATATCAACCCCAATCATACCTCCATTCATGCACTGTATATGACAACATAAAAACGTACATATAAAGAGAGGGTATCCAATGAAACCGCTATAAATAGAGGAGGAATCTTACCACTTGTAGTGCATAAAAAATAGGATTCAACCATTGACATAATATTATCTTACTGCTGCAATATTTTAACAGCTAATAATACATTCACGCAGCCGTACGATAATCATAACTAAGGCTACATCGCTTAAACTATTCTTAAGTCTCATCTGGTACGATGAACTCACTAATGTAATGTTATGGATTATAACACACTATATGAGTGTATAAATAGTTATAATAAAAAACACATCAAGGAGAATATTGAACTCGCTACATTTCCTATACTATGTGGTGAATTATATCTTATAATAATGAGGTAGAAGTTGCGTAAATACATAAATTCTTTGCGAAAATCTTCGACCTCGCGTATACGAGGTAAATAATGCGCCAACGATGGATAAAATACACTTGATTCCGAATACGCTATTATTCCAAAATTTACGCGCACTATATTTAACAAAATATATAATTTCAATGGAAGGAAAGGAAACTTTTATTTAAAAACACAATTCTTAATTTAGTGCCCACTGTGTCAAAGCGAAAAAAATGCACTACACGCAGAATAAAATGTATAAGCAACGAATAATTTTTAAAGGAAAGCGCTGTAGCAAAATATTTTCGTGGTATTGATTCTATTTATATGAAAACGCTACTATAAAATCGTTTCCAAGTACGATTTTTCCGGGTAAGACATGATGCTTATTCTTCTGAAAGAATTACAACCACACTGAGTTCATTTCTTGCATTCATATTATTCAAACATAGCAGAGCATCCCCAGAGTATACAACGCTATTTCCTGTAATTACACACGCGAATGAATGAAATATCTAATTAATTTAAAGTTTTATAATAATAATTACTAATTATTCAGCTCACAAATGTACTCCCGGTAATTCACTCTCATTTTTGCTGAAATAACCATATTTACGAGAAAGAAAAAAAATAATTAAGTCTGCACTACATACAATAAAGTAATCAGTCTATTCTCCTCATTCATAAGAATTATTTACATAGGCTTTTATAAAACCATCGCACACAAGTTAAATGCACAAAATCTGTGCACTCAACACACGGTTGCCTTAAGGAATTTCACATTGTGTCTTCTTGTATTCATAAACTTCTTCTCCTATAGGAAAATAACCCTAGCAGAGATATATTGCATTTATAAGTCATTTTATGAGTAACAAAAATTTTAAGGAAAATCTATACTAAAGGGAAGGAAGTATTAATTTATAATGTACGAAAAATACCATAGTTTTCCTACCATAAGGCATAGCATGACATACCCTTTATTGTGTAATGTATTAGTTAAAGTAATTACAGCGAAGCCAGGTTATAAGGAATAGCC